AGAGAGAGAGAGAGAGAGAGAGAGAGAGAGAGAGAGAGAGAGAGAGAGAGAGAGAGAGAGAGAGAGAGAGAGAGAGAGAGAGAGAGAGAGCTAGCTTGGTGACATTTGGATCCAGACTTTATTGTCTTCGTAGCCGCCGATATTACTGCAGGTGTTGAGTCCTTGATTGTCTTCGCAGCCGTCGATATTGCTGATGTCGATGTTGTTGTTGCTGCTGATGTTTGCACTGCCACCTTCATTGCTTCCTGCGCCTCCTTCCATTCCTTCTCGCCTTCCATCCGCTCTGGCAACAGATTGCGCATATTGCGACCCTCAGTGAAGAGGGCCTTAAAGGTAACCATCATGCTACTTACCCTCCTTCAATTGATGCAAGCCACGAGCTGGGGAGGATGAGGCAGGCTGGCGCCCACGAAAACATCCTACCGTCCTTCCCCTAGCTTGGCCAAGGCTAGGCGGAACTCAAACTAGTCGGAGCGAGGAAGTTTTGTTTTGCCAAATACGGAGATTCCTGACTACCAAAAAAACTCCTAGGATAGCAACACAAACCATATCTGATGCATACAAGTTGCAGTCCGGCCCTACCTTCACATTAATACCGAGCAGAGCGTCAACAACCAGGTCATGGGAGAGCAAAAGGGTAGAGGGGTACACTCCATTCATCCAGCACACTGCCTCTTTGTTGGGGTAGTTGCTGGTTTGGATAGGCATGTACTTGTAGTGACAGCAAGCTGCCGAACCCACCTGCATAGGAAGAAGTTCGGCAGGTAGAAGTACACAATTGCGTGAGTTACTTGCCTACATGACAGCATAATGAAAGTGCTAATATACAAAAATATCATCGCCGCTACAGGGAGAGTTGAAAACATACAGACTATTTTGCTTCGCGCCATTCACCCCGGTAACAGGTCCTTGGTGTCATAGTCCTGGAGTCTAGTCTTATCACTATGGTTATCTTCCAGTTCAAGTAGGCGAGAGAAGGTTAAGAGATGACTATATTTTCAAGTCATTTTCAACTGCTTCCGACGGGTGTTGGGTGCTTGGATGGGGGGACCGGAAACCACTTTCAGAGTGTCAACCACTTCAGGTCCTTTCATAGATTTCATGTCCTCGCCTGGAAATTCTGAAATGATCTGAAGTGGATGAAACTTCTGAAAGCGGTTTCAGGTCCCCCGATCCAAGTATTTGGATGGGCGGACCTGAAACCGGTTTTAGAAGTTTCAACCACTTCAGGTCATTTTTGTGGTTTCAGGTCTCATCACATGAAACTCTTAAAATAACCTGAAGTGGTTGAAGCTTCTGAAAGTGGTTTCAGATACCCCTGCGCAAGCATTTTGATGGGGGGACCTGGGGCCACTTTTAGACACTTCAACCACTTCAGGTCATTTCAGAGGTTTCAAACCTCCCATCTGAAACTCCTGAAATGATTTGAAGGGGCTGAAAATCTGAAAGCATTTTTAAATGCTCCAATCCAACCATTTGGATGATATTTGGACGGGTGGACTTGAAACCGCTTTCATAAGCTTTAACCACTTCAGGTCCAATCCAACCATTTAGATGAAGCTGCTTGAAACATTGATCTTGTCGCGATCGGAGCTGCGCAGGAAGAACTACCCGAGACAGTGGTTCGGCAAGGTACTTAGGAATTACACTCGGGGGAAAAAGCCAGATGTGGAAGTCTATTGCACTCTTGCTGTCGGATGACTACTGGGAATAGGATAGAGGGTTGTTGTTTTTTTAATTGAATTGAAACTATTGAACCAGCAAGTGTAGGATAAGTGATTCATTGGGACCAAGGACCAGCCAGGTAGGCTGTATGTTGGGACCAGGGACCAGCCCTTTGGACCGTCTTGTTGAGACCAGAGACCATTTCGATTAAGATTAGGATCAACACTAGAGGCCGACCGGTTGGACTGATGGAGTGTGTGGGATTTGGACCACGGACGGTCAGATGAAAGAGAGTCTTAGTGATTAGGAATAGAAGGGCCCGTTGGGACTGATGAAGGTCGGGATAGGATCGACTAGGGTGAGATTCCGACGGACGGTAAGCTGGAGCAGTGGGTCTGGCCGAATCGACGACAGTTCCAATAAGCATGATAATGCAAGTAGGACTAGTACTAGTATGAGAACTAGAATTCCGTGTGCTCGTATACAGCGGTCGAACAACAGAACTCGGGTCTTTGACGATGACGTTTCAGATAAATTGGATGATGAGGTAGGGGACTTCCTCTTTTGCCGCTATGGCATCTACACGACTATGGTTTGAGGACCGACCGTGGGGTATAAGAGTTTGCTCCGTTATTGACGGAGGTGGAGTCGCGGTTCATCATTGATCAATGATCGTCCAAATATTCACGCAACCACTGTTAACCACCACATGTTAACGTGATTTTGTTTTTAATAATAAGATGATACTTTGATGACTACATAGCGTGTTTCGACATTTCGCCTTGTAAAGTTGTTGACTGTGTGTCCGTAGTTCCGACCGTGTGTTCGCAGTTTTGAATTCCTATCATTCAAAGTCGTAACCATCTAGGAGATTGTACCTAGTAGAGGTAGGGGCTTGCACTGTAAGTACGAAGATTACTATCGCTGCTTCGAGATGAGTGAAGAAGGTAGTTCGAGGTGTGGGGCGGAAGGCAGTGGTTCGTTGCTACCTGACAACCATAGATGCTACAAGTGCGGTGAGGGCGGACACTTCATCCGAGACTGCGCCGAGTTTTGGCAGACGAAAGCACGTGGCCACACGTTCGTGCCATCCTCGTAGAACTCCGCCCCGACTCGCACGGGTAGACCGGCGGCGGTCGGCTGAGTGGGCGCGATGGCACGAAGAAGTCGATCCGCGGAAGGAGGGGAACGAAGCAAAACGACTTACTATACTAACGCGCTTATGCGAGAGTATCTGCCGCAGATGGTTGAAGAGCGGAGACTTCGGATTGAACGGGAGGTGGAGGAAGAACGTCGACGAAAAGAAGAAGAGACGAGGCGAGCAAGAGAGGACAAACGGTTACTACGACAGGAGGAGAGACAAAAACTCGAAGAAGAACGGGACGCAAGGCTGTTGCGGATCGTGCACAGTGAGATGCGCAAGGAGCGGGACAAGGAGCGGGAAAAGTATGAGAAAAAAGGTAAGGTTGTGGCTAAGTAGCAATCAAACTGAGTCAATTGAAGAAGAGAAAGAGAGACTACGGCGTATGATAGCACCTAGAGCCCTCGGTATTACCGAGGAAGGTGAAGATGACCATTCTTTTGGCGCTGAGGATGCTCCCAATCAGACTGGGTCAAGCTGAGAAGTGGAAGCGGGGCCGGAATCTGCCAGTGGGGAATAATCCTCCAATTGTGACGCTAGAGAAAAGGTATTACCTGAAGCTTTATGAAGAAACTAAGACGTGTATTGAGCAGCTCAAGAGTGAACAGGGAACGAAGATCGGAGCAGCTAGGACGCCGACTAAGATCGATCTTTCTCTGAAGCATATAATGGCTTCATGTAGTCCTCGCGGGAAAGAAAAATTCGAGCAAGATTGTAACGATTTTTACGACTTGCTGACCATCGACGAGGCGAAAGAAGCATGCAGACGCGAGAAGTTTGCCTATGGGAACCGAGAGCTCACCATTAAGCATCTGATTATTTGACGCTCTGCGGTGGCTTACGATCCTTCGACGATTCCATTGTCGATGACACCGCGAATGCAGACGAGAGGTACGAAAGGAATCACGATTAAGGAAGGTAAGGAGAAAAACTTGAGCGGACTCTCCGACTCCGGATCCTCGTCCTCCGACGGTGAATCTGAGTGAGAAATTTGTCGTCGCGACGACTACTTGACGATAGCTGACGATGTTAGTAAGCACAAATTTGAGAATGGGGGTAAGGGTAAGTCGGACGAGGCGTTACTCCCTGCGACTACGATTGGGTTGACTTATGAAGGAAGGCTGAAGTGGGTCTAGAAGTTTGTGAACTATTGGCGTGAGGAAGCAGGGAAAGGGACCCTCGACCTGTTCGAACTAAAAAGTTGTGTCTATGTACTTTTGTCACCATGGTACAAACAAGCATACATTGGCATGACGGAACGAGGTTTGTGGGCTCGTTGGCGGGAACATTATTGCCACAGGTGGGCGAGTGGGAGACGGTGAAGACTATTATATAATTGGTTGGGGAAGTTGGGGGCTCACTGATATGTCGCACTTCCGCTGTTCACAAGTCACGATTGCTCGGAGTTGGAAGCGGTCGAGAGTGAGCTGATTAGACACTGGTCACCGTCACTCAATGTACGATCAGTGAAATCAAGAAAAGCACCGAAGAAATCTAAGCATAGGCTAGGACGGATGGAAAGGAAAAGATGGAGGGGAGACGCACCTGACAGGAGGAATGTGTACCAGAAGGACACCGGGAAGATCATCGAGATTCGCCTAGAAGACAAGACAGAAGCGACCGTTAAAATTGTCGAAACATTACGTAGTCTCACCATACACAAGGGAGATGTGACCATATACTGTAGCGGTGGAAAAACATGGGTTGATAGTTGGAGAGTGGTGAGGAGACTGTTCGGAGAGACTTGGGTGAAGTACGGGAAGGGAACGAGACCATTGCGGCGTTGCAAGATGAAGTTCGAAAGTACTGGTACCATTATCCTTCGACGTGTTACCGAGGCATCGCCATCAGCTTTAGCACTGAAGGACACCATGGTCAAGATGTTCAAGAATCCTCAGCTGCAGAAAAAGCTTCGGGGAAGAAGCCTGGTGGAGTTGGTGAGATTTTACAATGCGGTAAAGACGTTTGCTACCAAGCGTAGTAGAACGAGGGCGAGATTGATGATCTCCAGGGCGGTCCGTGAGAGTTTTGAAGTGAATGTGAGATCTAGAATTATAGTGAAGGTCCAGTATGACGAGAGAATCAGGAAAAGGGAAATTATGAGAGTTGTTAGGAGGAGGATCGGCGGTATGCAGATCGATAGTACTCTGAAGGAAATGGTAAAGCGAAGATCACGGGTTGTATGAAAGAAGTGCCCAAATGTGGGTGACATACTCCACAACCACCGACGTTCAGCGTCGGTACGTGTGTCTAGTTGTTCGTGCGCTGGTATGCCCTACCCCAAGAGGAATGGGCACGCGCATTTCCGGATCGGGGAACTCGAAGGAGTACCTCGCATCTAATGGAAGGCCAAAAATTCGCACAAGTTGTTAATGCAAGGCAAAAAATTCAGGGTTTTTCGCCGCATCGCTACAAACAATGTTGTCGAAATGTTTGCTAACAAACTGTGCAGGGTCATAATGCAAACATACAAAAAGCAAACAGGCAAAAAAAAAACAAAAAAAAACAAACTCAAGAGCACTATAAAATCCTATTCGGAGTAGCTTTCGGAGGTCGCCGAATGTTTCTTCGAGTGCGACGTTTTTGCTAAGTTTTTCGTTACTGGTCCAAATACGGCGTACGGATATACCCTATAGCACATACAAATCAATAAAAGTTCAAGGAAATACGGCAGTTTCGGTGAAACTTTTGCTAATTTTCGCCAAATTTTTGGCCTTCCATTAACCGCTTCGCAAAATTCGGCAAAATTTGGCGAAAGTTTCACCGAAACTGCCGTATTTCCCTGAATTTTTTTTTTTCTTGATTTTTTTTTTTTCTGATCTGTATGTGCTATAGGGTATATCCATACTCTGTTTCGTCATAGTTGGACCAGTAACGAAAAACTTAGCAAAAACGTCGCACTCGAAGAAACATTCGGCGACCTCCGAAAGCTACTCCAAATAGGATTTTGTAGTGCTCTTGAGTTTGTTTTTTTGTTTTTTTTTTCACCTGTTTGTTTTTGTGATGTTTGCATTATGACCCTGCACAGTTTGTTCGCGAACATTTCGACAACATTGCTTGTAGCGATGCGGCAAAAAAACCCGAATTTTTGGCCTTCCATTAACCACTTGTGCATTAAATGCCAAGAATGTGCCAAGGTGTGAAGTGGATAAGAAAGATAGCCTATTAGCTGCTGAGTTGACCGAGGCCTTTCAGACTTGGCGCAACACTTTGAGGCTGACGACCGAAGACTGAAACTTCTCGAAGGAGGATACCAATGGGTGTATCATATATCACAACAGCCAGTCTCATACGGAGGGACTCGAGGAAGTCCTGGAATTTCGGGATAGGATGAGAGGACTGGTACCGGCTCCACTAAATCGGAATCCGGGCGATACTTTGGTCATGTGCCCACAGTTGTACGGGAAGGGCATGGAGGACACATTCTTGTTGAGTGATGGGTACAGAGTCTGTGCGGACAAAGAATACCACTTGCTTGAACTGGCTAGAATCGAGTACGAGAAACGAGGCCTGAATAGTCAGGGCAAATGGAATAGGAAGGGCGTTATCAGAAATCCACATGCACTACCGAAACACAAGGATACAGAGAAGTACCGTCCTATTTGTCCTACGTTCAACGAACCCTGTGTCCAGACATGCAAAATAGTAGCAAAAAAAGGCATCAATTGTCTGCTATACTCTTTGCCAGAATCTGGTCGCTTCAACCTGAAGTCCGCGTCGTCAATGAAAGAGAGACTACGTAGTAATAATAATCGTCTCGGGAAGTCCAAGCAAAACGTCAAAATTGTTGGAGCATCCTTCGATATGAAAGATATGTTTAGTCGCCTGCCACATGCGACGATTAGGGTGGCGATTGAATGTGTCCTTTGGTGGTTTGCCCAGAAAGAATTTGAAGGGGTGTTTGTCAAGAAGAGGGGATGTGGTGCTAGGCTGAGTAGGTGTCAACAGATCGATGGATTTGTCTTTGTGACTTTTAAATATTTGATTTCCTTCGTTGATTTTGAATTGGATTTTTGCTTTACCAAAGCATGCAGGATATTGATCCAGCAGGTCGTCGAAATCCCAATGGGGAAAAGTTCAAGTCCCCCATTGACCTGCCTTATGTGTGCCAAAAACGAATGGCATTTCCTGATTTCGCTTGGGGGACATAGGCGTTTGTTTCCAGGTCTACGATTTGTGGATGATGTATCTGTATTTGCGGCATATAATATGCGGTTAGATGGCGATAAAGACAAAGCAGAGCGAGTTTTGGATCGGTTCAAAGAGTGCTATGACCAGGCGCTGACCCTGAAGCGCAATGACGATGGTGATGATAACTGAAATTTCCTGGGATGCAGGTTGTTGATCCGTGAGGATTTTCCGTTCACAGGTACTGTGCAGGTGTTGAAGAACGATCAACAACTTCGGAATGGGGAGGCCCTTTTGTTCCGAACCTTCCAAGATTTTGAATCATGTACATGCAAGCAGACTAAAATGGCTGTAATTGTTAGTGCCCTACACAGGATCGATCAGAACTCTTGTGTGGGGATGGAGCTGATTGAAACATTGATCTTGTTGCGATCAGAGCTGCGCAGGAAGAACTACCCGAGACATTGGTTCGGCAAGGTACTTGCTAGGAATTACACTCGGGGAAAGAACCAGATGTGGAAGTTTATTGCACTCTTGCTGTCGGATAATTACTGGGAATAGGATAGAGGGGTGTTGTTTTTCGAATTGAATTGAAACTACTGAACCAGCAAGTGTAGGATGCAGATAGGATAAGTGATTCAGTGGAACCAAGGACCAGCCGGGTAGGCTGTCTGCTGGGACCGGGGACCAGCCCTTTGGACCGTCTTGTTGAGACCAGAGACCAGTTCAATTAAAATTAGCATCAACATTAGAGGCCGACCGGTTGGACTGATGGGGTGCTTGGGATTTGGACCAGGGACGGTCAGATGGAAGGGAGTCTTAGTGATTAGGAATAGAAGGGCCCCTTGGGACTGATGAAGGTGAGGATTTGATAGACTAGGGTGAGATTCGAACCAGGAGCCGTCAGCAAGGAAGTAAGCTGGAGTAGTGGGCCTGGCCGAATCGACGGCAGTTCGAATAAGCATGGTAATGCAAGTAGATTTGTATTGTATATAGACTTGAATACAATGTCACGGGTCTCACTTCACTCACAAACTCAATCCTTCTCYGGGAAAGGTCATATACGTATGTATTCYGTAATCTGGCGAAATTAATTCAATTCTAAAAATAAATCGTCTGTATACGTGATCCTATGGGCGCTCTTGCGTTTTCTTTTATTTACTTCGGCCTCTCACTCAACTCACTCACTCGAAGACTGGAACTACGAAGCAAGTAGAATAGAGAGCCGTATGATAAGTGACTATCTCGTACGGTTCGGAGAGGACTCGAGTACCGCTGGCATGTTTTGCTCAGTGGGGAAGTTTCACTCTATTGAATATACAAGGAATTGAAGGTAGTATTTTACTCATGTTAAGTCGTGGACTGGTTTAGTACTAGTATGAGAACTAGAATTCCGTGTGCTCGTATATAGCGGTCGAACAACAGAACGCGGGTCTTTGACGATGACGTTTCAGATAAATTGGATGATGCGGTAGGAGACTTCCTCTTTTGCCGCTATGGCATCTACGCGACTATGGTTTGAGGACCGACCGTGGGGTATGGGAGTTTGCTCCGTCATTGACGGAGGTGGAGTCGCGGTTCATCATTGATCCTCCAAATATTCACGCAACCACTGTTAGCCACCACATGTTAACTTGAGTTTGTTTTTAATAATAAGATGCTACGTTGATGACACACAGCGTGTTTCGGCAGTTCGCCTTGTAAAACTGTTGACTGTGTGTCCGCAGTTCCGACTGTGTGTTCGCACTTTTGAATTCCTCCACTTCAGGTCCTTTCAGAGGTTTCAGGTTTCCCCACCCGAAACTCCTGAAAGGACCTGAAGTGGCACACAACAACGTTGAACCGAAACAAAAACAAGCCCAAAAAAACAAAAACAAGGCGAACACGATGCTACACAGAACAACACCACGTGTAAAAAAAAGAAAAAAAAGAAAACACCAAGTAGCAGTTTTGTCTCAGAGACAGTTTGGAATGCACAGAAAAAAACAAAAATACTAAAAGAGTGTTTTCCTTTTAGGGCTAACTTCAGTAGAGTCACAAAAACGAGTTATTTTACCAACACCACTAGCACCTATGGGAGTGTCTTGAGTTAAAAAAATAAAATAAAATAAATGCACCATGGGGCAAGATACAGTTTGCAATTGCACACCGGGCACCCTACCTGGCCAGAAAGCTGGGTTGTATACGTTGCCCGAACTGCAGTTTGAAACTGTATCTTGGCCCATAGTGCAATTATAACTCATTTTTGTGACTGCTGCGTAGTTTCCCCTTTCTTTTTTCCTGTTTTTCTCACCTCTCTTGACTCAGGCCCTCTGCATATGACGGCACACCCTTGCCTTTGCCACAAAGCGCGGGACTCAAAGTACTGCACCTGTTTTATTGCCTTTTCAAAGTAGGCACGTGATTGACATGCGGGTGTGTGTTTTCCTTTGCCTGTTCAAAACTCAAAGTTTCTGCGCCCGTAGTTGGCTCTTTATTTTTGTTTTTTCATGCCTTGTTCAAGCAGTCCACCACTACAGAAACCGTTTGCTGCCGTCCTGTGGGGTCACTCCCTTTTACTGCCAACCATTCTGTGCTGATGGCTGTCGGAATGTGCTGCTTTGTTGTCCCAATCACTTCCTCACCATCTACCCTAACCCCTTTCGGCGACGTGGGTGGACCTATTCCACCATAAAGCCCACAGAATGGCTCTGGCCCTCCCAGCCCTAGTGGGGAGAGGCCTGTAACAGTTCATCGTTGTATTGCTTGGAGATTATGAGCCTTGGGCAAAAACAAAAAAGAAATAACTACGGCGCAGTCAGGCTTTCAAGTCCTAAATGCAGTCCAGGCCAAAGGCCTCCAAATGTTGAATGTATACAAGCCAGGATTCGGGTCCGGTAGGGTCACGTGGGGGTGTGTTATGTTCGGGGAAATGACTGAAGTGCATTTAAAACTTAATCTTGACTGCGTCGTAGTTACCTTAAAAAAAAAAAGAAGAAGGGCATGGCTCTCCTCCGAACTGAGAACAGGCTAGCTGTTTCGCACTAAGGGCCAGAAGCAACAGAGAACGGCCACTGGTCCTCCCCGTGATCCGTCTCCAAATCTGGTCTGGTCCCGCCTCTCCAGGTAAGAATGGCCCCTGGACATTGCAAAAAAATAGGTTCTAGCGTTTTGTTGATTTTCCGAGAAGGTTCTTTTGTCACACAGGCTTTGCACCTTCTATCAATGTGTTTTTCTTTTTACCTTTCCAGCCCAGCAAGGTGGAGCACCCTGTGTCACCCACTATTCTCTGTTTCTCTTTTCCCAGTGAAGGGGCCATCAGGGACGAGGGTCAAAATGGGCCTCTGCCTT